AAGTTGAGTGGCTCCAACATTATCACAAAGGAGCCGTGGAGGAGCATGGAGCTTAACGGCAAGTTCATCAAGAAGGGATTGAATCCAGGCAATGTCCGAGGTGGCAATGGCAAGGGCCCGATATTCAGCTGCAGTGGAGGATCAAGCTACCGCCTTTTGCTTCCTAGTGCTCCAACTGATGGGATTATTGCCTAGAAAGTGGACTTACGATCATCAAGATTACCACCCTAGTCTGCATCTAAAAATCCACGTAGAACGGGATTGGTTTCACAGTGAAGTAGAAGACCAAAGTGAATCGTCTGCTTAAGATAACGTAGGAGGCGCTTGACATGTTGCCAATGAGTCACAGTAGGTTTGTGCATAAACTGAACAAGGCGATTCACTGCAGAACCAATGTCTAGGCGAGTTAGAGACAGGTATTGCAATGAACCAATGGTGCTGCGATATTCCGTAGCATCACGCCCAGCAGTGCCATCATGGAGAAGAAGTTTTGTAGTTGTAGACATGGGAGTTTGAACCTCCTTGGCACCAGTTATCTTTAAACGAGTGAGAAGATCATGGACATAGCGATTCTGGGAGAGAAATAGACCCTGATGGACTAGAATGACTTCAACTCCAAGGAAGAAATGTAGATCACACAGCTCTTTGAGAGAAAACTTGTCACCCAAAGATTGAACCACGTGCTGCAAAAATTGATGATTATTACCTGTGAGAATTAGATCATCTACATAAACAAGAACGTAGAACAAAGTCCCATTTTGGTTGAAAATAAAGAGGGAGCTATCAGACTGAGAATTGAAGAAGCCCAACTCCAATAGGCAGTTCCTCAATGCATTATACCAGGCCCTCGAGGCTTGCTTTAAACCATAAGTAGATCTCTACAGAGCACATACATAATCAGGATGGGACTGATCTACAAAGCCCGCAGGCTGAGCCATGTACACCTACTCAGTTAGTTGGCCATGAAGAAATGCATTATTGACATCAAGTTGCTTCAATGGCCAAATGTTGGATAAAGCAAGAGATAGCATCAGTCTAGTAGTTGTGGGTTTTACAACAGGACTGAAGGTTTCGACATAATCAATGCCAGGGCATTGATTGAATCCTTTCGCCACAAGTCGTGCCTTGAACCTGTCCACCGTGCCATCTTCATGGTTTTAACGCTGAATACCCATTTAAAACCAATCAGATTGGCATTAGGGGGTTTTGGAACAATCTTCCAGGTGTCGTGTGACACCAAAGCGGTAAATTTGTCCACCATAGCCTTACGCGAGGGTCCTTTACAGCTTAAGATACACATGTAGGCTCCAAAGGTGGGGAAAGGGGGGTATTTGATGGTAACTTATAGTTGTTCAGGCTTATAGATGTTATTTTGGGCACAAGTAACAACATAATGATCGAGAAAGATGAGATCACGTATTGCGGATTCAACATATGTATATGTAACATTCACGTATTATCAAATTAATTTTGATAGATGATCATGAAAAAAATTACTATCTTTTAAGAGTTTCGTGCTGATAACGTGTTATAAAATGAGAGGAAAAGAAAATAGAGAAAACTCAAAGAGAATAGAGAAAACTCAATAAACTTTTGTGTCATTATTGAAAACCAAAGCCCTATATTTATAGGTAAGAATCAGGGATACAATGGTAATAATTTCTAGGGCTACAGGGGTACAAATGTCATTCACCAATAAACTTTAATAGACTTTCCATTTACAACAGAACATATTTATACTAAAACCCACAAAATTGATAAAAGTACTCACTTGCCGGGATGGGCAACGAAAAATCTCAAATGATAAATCTGTATAAAAAAAACGACAGAAACTTGGAGGCCGAAACAATCCAACCGTTGATTGTTGTTGCCCATCACGAGGTTTTTGAAATTAATCTTTAGTTTAGGAAATGCATTAATCGAGAAACGTGAAAATGGGGAAAATAAAAATAAAAATATCAGTTACAAAATGAAGTGGGTGATATATTTTAGGAAATAGTTTCCCGTTTTTATATTTGGGTGGTGAGCGGATGGGACTAGGAACTGTCGCCGAACAACTGTTAAGTTGTTACAATCCATGGCAAAACTCTCTCTCATTTCTTTCAGTAGTAGTTACTCTCCTTCTTGATTACTCAAATAGCCATCCATATAGAGAGAGAGACCTCTGGGAAGTGGGTATCAAGCTCAAGTCTCATTTCAACGCTTCCAAACTGCTAATTGTCATTGTCTTCATTTTTTTATCTTATTGCTTTTTATTTGGCTGTTATTGCTCTGCAGAGACGTAGCACTTTGAATATTATCTTAATTGATTATTATTTCTTTTGACTATGTAGGATTGTAGATAAATATGTGTAGATTCAAGAATTGATTAGATACTGAGAAATTAATTGCACAGAAGGTATAAGATTTAGTGCTCAAATGGCTAGGATTCTTGAACAGCTAGTTGTTTCCATTATTTGAACAGCTAGTATTTGGTCGGAAAAATGCTGGTCGGTAGAAAAATTTAGTATCTGATATTGTGTGACATAATATGAAAATTATTATTATTATTATTATTATTATATATATATATACACACACTATGTTCAGACAATAATAATAAATGCAAAACAATTTTTTTAATCAATACTCAACATTCCAATAGATTCTTTGGCCCATAACCATTATTAAATGCAAGATATGTTAACTACTGGGAGTAAGTAAATAAGAATGGATAGAAAAAGTTAGGATTGTAAGTGGTACAATGAAAAATATTGAAGACTGTGTGTAATAAAACTTAATGAAATTTATAATTGATTGTGCATATTGTTAAAGACACGAAAAGAAGTCTCTAAACTATATTTCTTTATCTTGATTTTTTGATTTATTTATCTATAATTTTCATAATTAATTGTTTTTGCTTAAATACAGAATTCTATACAGAAAATAATCTTTGCTCAATATTTTTCATAAATAATTTTTTTTATCGAGTCTCTAGTCTAAACAACATAAAATTATATATTTAAGCTAAAAATATTTAAGTGTGTTATCTCATTCAAGTTTTCTATAAAACAGAAAAAAATAAAAAATAAAAAAATAAAGAGACCATCCATTACAGGAAAAAAAAATTAATGCATGTACTCTTTAAAATACATTAACTTGTAAATAGTATGAAGCTAATAATCTAACTTAAAATTAACAAATAAAAAATTTAATATTAGCCTAGAATTTAATAACTAATATAAAAAATCAAATGACCAATTGCACAGGTCTAAAGTCCTGCGGTCGCATACACCCAGCAGAAGTCCCAAAATCGCAGACCAATTGCATTATGCGACCGCATGGGCCAAGTCCGAGGCGGATTTTTCCAAATTTCGCGTTTTTCCTTATTTTAATCGAATTTCATTATTAGTAGATTTTTACCATAATTAGGCTATTGTAGACGAATTTTGCATTATTCTTAGACATTTTTCCTAGTTTACTTAGGTTCTCTAGAATATTATAAATACTTTATTCCTTATTGTAAAACATTACAATTCTCATATTATTGAATATTATTCACGAAGCATTAATTGCTTTCTTTCGCTCTTCGTTGAACAACTTGTGAATTTATCAAGATTAATCTTGTGGCGTTCAAATCAACCGGATGAGATTCATTTAAATTGCGTAATCAAGAGGTCCGCATATTGTCGACGATTCGGGTTGCTTGGTTCCAGTTTAATCCAAAACCTTGTCTTAGGCCTTCATGGGTTTGATTCTCAATTTGTTGTGGGTTTGGTAATGATCGCGCTACGCGGATTCGCATCAATTAGTATCAGAGCATAGGCTTCAATTCAAGGTTATATCCCTCTTAAATTCTTGTTGAGTCTTTGTTTCTAGTTTTTCTTCGTTCTTCGCGTTCTTCTATCCAGTAAAATTTTTGAGTCTTTGATCCGAATTCTTTTCGTCTAAAACTTGAAAAGTTGGTTTTAGGCTCATTTAGAATCCAAAACAACTTCCGTTTCTTTCGTTGGTGTTGTAGTTAAAGTCCGGGTCCAAAAAAAAATCGTACTATTCATCGTACAGTAGCAGAAAAAAGTCCAAAAAAAGTACTGTTCACGTCTACTGTTCAAAAAAAATTATATATTTGCAAATTAGTCCCTTATTTTCTTAAATTGTCTTTCTTAGTCCAAATCAATTCAAGAACCACTTTCTTGAATTTTAAAACTTCTAAATTCGAGTCCTTCTTTGTTTTGCAATCTCACTCACATCTGGTTTGGGTTTCACGAGACTAATTCCTTGGTTGTGTTTCAACTTGTTTTTTGAAGCATGTAGTGAAAGCAATGGGCGGTAAAAGACAGAGTGGTAAGATCAATTGAGGGTAAAATCCAAATTGAGTGAATTCCGAGTGAACTTGGTGAGGCAGAAAAAAGTTAGATTATAGGATATCTGATATGGAAGGAACACATTCTGGCAGGGACAATGATCAACTTAACATGATGGCAGAATCGATACTGTGGATGGAAAGGATGATGGTGGACGTTAGGGATCGGTTGGATCGACAGGACGTGCGATTAGACGGGCTTAATCCAATGCCTGCTAATCCTCGACGGGGAGCCAATAATGCATGGCGAAATGGAAGGCGGGAAGTTAGGATAGATGATCATGATGACTTTGAGGCTGATAGTGGATTCGATGAGGATGTATTTGTGGATGCGGAGGCTGGAAGGGTTAGGAATGGAGGCATTGGGCAAGGTGTGAGAGGTAGGAATCTTGGTGGAGACGAGTTGGATGGTAATTTAGGAAATATTAAAATGACCATTCCTTCTTGCAAAGGGAGGAGTGATCTGGAGGCGTACTTAGAGTGGGAGAAGAAGATTGAGTTGATATTCGATTGTCACAATTACTCGGGGGAGAAAAAGGTGAAAATTGCGATTCTTTAGTTCTCCGACTATGCAATAACTTGGTGGGATCAAGTGGTGACAACGAGATGAAGGATTGGAGCACAACCTATAAATACTTGGGAGGAATTGAAGATGTTAATGCGGAAACAGTTTGTTCCTAATCACTATTACCGGGAGCTTCATCAATGGTTACAAAATCTTTATCAAGGCACTAGAAGCGTAGAGGATTACTATAAGGAGATGAAGATGCTTATGATTAGGGTGAACGTGGAAGAGGATAGGGAAGCCATTAAGGCTCGGTTTTTGAAGGAGTTGAATAGGGACATTGCCAATGTAGTGGAATTGCAATATTATGTAGAGATTGAAGACATGCTACATGTGGCCATGAAGGTGGAAAAGCAATTGAAGCGAAAGGGGACAGCAAGGTATCAAGGTGGATCTTCGGTTTCTAATCCTTGGAAGTCGAGGTGGGAAAATAATAAAGGAGATGGAGCCAATGCAAGAGAAAGACCGGAGGTACCGAGAGAAAAGGAGGAAGGAGCTAGCAAGACTACACCAAAGGTAGAATCCCAGCCATCAAGGAATCGGGACGTCAAGTGTTTTCGTTGCTTGGGAGTTGGACATATTGCTTCACAATGTCCAAATAAAAGAACCATGATTTTGCGAGACAGCGGGGAAGTGGAGATCGAAAGTGAAGGTGATTATGAAGACATGCTGGAGTTGGAGGACATTGACGAGGAAAACACCACGGAGTATGCAGTTGGAGAGTTGTTGGTCACGAGGCGAGCACTTAGCGCTCAAATCAAGGCGGATGACTTGGAGCATCAGCGAGAAAATATATTCCACACATGGTGTCACGTCAACGAGAAGGCATGCAGTGTAATAATTGATGGTGGAAGTTGTGCAAACGTAGCTAGCACTAATGTAGTGGAAAAATTGGGATTAACACTATTAAAACATCCTAGACCCTATAGGTTGCAATTAAATGAATGTGGGGAGGTTAAGGTGACAAAAAGGGTGTTGATTAATTTTTCCATTGGGAAGTGTCATGATGAGGTGTTATGTGATGTTGTACCTATGCATGTGGGGCATTTTTTGTTGGGACGACCTTGGCAATATGATAGGAAAATAATGCATGATGGGTATAAAAATAAATATAATTTTGTGAAAGAGAGAAAGTCTATCACTCTTGCGCCAATAACATCGGCACAAGTGTGTGAGGACCAAATCAAATTGAAAAATGAGGAAGAAAAGAGAGTGAGAGAGTTAGAGAAAAATAGTGAGGTGGCCAGTGGGTAAGAAAAAAGAGTGGGGCCACATGAGAGAAAAGAAAGAGAGTCTTCCGAGAGGAGAGAAAAGCCGAAAGTGAATTTCTTTGCAAAAGGGAGTGAATTGAAAAAGGCGATAGTGGAGAGACAACCAATGATTCTTTTAGTATATAAAGAATCACTCCTCAATTTTGAGGAGTCTAACACATCCCTCCCTAGTTTGGCTCCTTCTTTATTGTAGGAATTTGACGATGTGTTTCTGGAAGACGTGCCTAATGGATTGCCATCCATTAGGGGGATCGAACATCAAATTGATTTCATACCTGGAGCTGTCATTCCAAACCGACCAGCTTATCGAAGTAATCCGGAGGAGACAAAGGATCTTCAAAGCCAAGTGGAGGAGTTGATGAGCAAGGGCTATGTAAGGGAGAGCATGAGTCCATGTGCCGTACCCGTATTGTTGGTGCCAAAGAAAGATGGAACTTGGAGGATGTGCGTGGATTGCCGAGCTATCGACAACATTACGGTAAAGTATCGTCACCCAATTATATGGTGCTTGCATCTTTTCTAAAATTGACCTTAAGAGCGGGTATCATCAAATTCGTATGCGGGAGGGTGATTTATGGAAAACAGCATTTAAAACGAAATATGGGATGTATGAATGGCTAGTTATACCATTTGGACTCACAAATGTATCAAGCACATTTATGCGATTAATGAACCATGTTTTGCGTGCTTTCATTGGAAAATTTGTTGTGGTTTACATTGATGACATTCTAATCTATAGCAAGGGCCTAGAAGAGCATTTAGAACATCTTAAATGTGTACTTGTGGTTTTAAGAAATGAACGACTTTATGCTAATTTCAAGAAGTGCACATTTTGCATGGATAGAATCATATTTCTAGGATTTGTGGTGAGTGCTAATGGGGTTGAAGTTGATGAGGAAAAGGTAAAAGCTATTAAAGATTGGCCAACACCTAAAAACATAACTGAGGTTAGGAGTTTTCATTGGTTAGCTAGTTTTTATAGGCGATTTGTTAGGAATTTTAGTACACTTGCCACACCATTTACTGAAATTATCAAAAAGAGCATTGGGTTTCAATGGGTTGTAGAACAAGAACATGCATTTAACACCATCAAAGAATGTTTATGTAAAGCACCTATTTTAGCACTTTCTAATTGTGACAAAACTTTTGAGATTGAGTGTGATGCATCAGAAATAGGTATTGGAGCAGCTTTGATGCAGGAAAAGAGGCCGATAGCATACTTTAGCGAGAAACTAAGTAGGACGGCTCTTAACTATCCTACTTATGACAAGGAGCTTTATTCTCTATTTCGAGCCTTGGAGACATGGCAACACTACCTATGGCCAAAGGAGTTTGTTATTCACACGGACCAAGAATCATTGAAACATTTGCGGGTCAAGGTAAGTTGAACAAACGACATGCACGTTGGATGAAATTCATAGAGACTTTTTGATATGTCATTCGATACAAACAAGGTAAGGAAAACATAGTAGCCGATGTATTGTCGCGAAATTACTTGGTTTTGAGTGCAAAATTACTTGGTTTTGAGTATGTTAAAGACATGTATGAAAACGATCATGATTTTCTAGCATCTACAATTCATGTAATAAGGGGGCTATTGACAAGTTCTTTAAGCATGAGGGGTATTTGTTTCAAGAAAATAAATTATGTGTTCCTAATTGCTCAATACGTGAATTGTTGGTTAGGGAGGCACGTAGTGGGGGTTTAATGGGTCACTTTGGGGTAGCAAAGACTTTAGACATGTTAAATGAATACTTTTATTGGCTTAAAATGAAGATTGACGTAGAACGAATTTGTAGTCGTTGCATAACTTGTAAAAAGGCTAAATCAAAGGTTTTACCCCATGGACTTTATACACCTTTACCGGTACCTAGCGAACCTTGGGTTGACATTTCAATGGATTTTGTATTAGGTTTGCCTAGAACTAAAAACGGGCGTGATTCAATTTTTGTTGTAGTGGATAGTTTTAGTAAAATGGCACACTTTATACTATATCACAAAATTGATGATGCCACTAACATTGCAGACTTGTTTTTCAAAGAAGTAGTGTGTTTGCATGGTGTTCCCAAAAGTATTGTGTCCAATAGGGATGTTAAGTTTCTTCGTCACTTTTGGCGGGTCTTGTGGAATAAGTGAGGCACGAAATTATTGTTTTCTACAACTTGTCACCCACAAACCGATGGTCAAACTGAAGTAGTGAATAGAACAATGACACAACTATTGCGCACTGTGGTTAACGAAAATCTAAAGAATTGGGAAGAATGTTTGTCTTTCATTGAGTTTGCGTATAATAGGACCACGCATTCTACTACGTCGTTTTCGCCATTTGAAATTGTTTATGGTTTTAATCCTTTAACACCTATGGATTTAATACCTTTGCCTGTGAATGAACGAGGCAACTTGGATGGGAAAAAGAAAGCCGAATACTCCATGAAAAGGTAAGGGAGCAAATAGAGCGGGAAGAACAATCAACGCACAACACAAGCAAACAAAGGCCGAAAATATGTTACTTTTGAACCGAGAGATTGGGTTTGGGTGCATTTAAGGAAAGAGCGATTCCCAGAGCAAAGAAAATCTAAGTTATTTTCACGAGTTGGAATCCGCTTTGCGCAAGCTTTCCCGGCATTTTTGGATGACTCTCCTCTCCGACCCGACCATTCCTTCCTAAGGAATGGAGTCAGGGTCTGGAGCTAAATGCGGAGACAGAGAGAAAGAATTAGATTGCACACACGGGAATGATTAACTGCCTCTGGTCACTTCACTTAGCTTTCATGCCTGACTTCTTGTTATTTATACCCTGGTTTCTAACGGTTCACTTCGCATTCTGGTTTTGCTTTTTTTGACGCCCAGAATCAGAAAAAAAGTAACCCCTTTCCTTTCTTTTATAAAAGATTTTGTTCAAAAAAAGTGAGAATGGCCCTCTGGTCTGGTGATTTAGGCGGTGTTGATCTGATCTGGAAAAAATTCCTTATACCATCGCTCGAAGGGCGGATTCCGCGGAGCTTCTCCCCCCTTACTCAACATAGGGAGAGTAGGTGCTATCCCTTACAAAGAGGACCGTTCCAAGTGATTGAGAAGATCAACGACAACGCTTATAAGACAGGTCTTCCAGGTGAGTATAGTGTTTCTACAACTTTCAATGTTTCTGACTTATCTCTTTTCGATGCAGGTGCAAATTCGAGGTCGAATCCTTTCAAAGAGGGAGGGGATGATGAGATCAGGAAGCACAAGTACTAAAGTCAAGTCCAGAGTCGAGCCCGAGGAAAGATCCGTAGATAGTCGAGGGGCCGATGACATGATCGAGGGCCAAGCACGTGAAAGAGGTGATGGGATTGCTCGTCAAAGCAACGGTTGATGAAACAATGTTCGGGATGCAAAATGGAGCAAGTTTCGGGTTGGGATGAAGGCTGAAGAGTATTGGATTAATGTGTTTAAAGCTGAAGAAAACGGAGCTGGAACATTAAACCATGCGACCGCACAGGTCTAAAGTCCTGCGGTCTCATATACCCAGCAGAAGTCCTAAAGTCACAGACCAATTGCACTATGCGACTGCATGCTCTAAAGCTATGCGGCCGCATAAGCCAAGTTTGAGGCGAATTTTTACAAATTTCGTGTTTTTTCCTTATTTTAATAGAATTTCATTATTAGTAGATTTTTACCATAATTAGGCTATTGTGGACAAATTTTACATTATTCTTAGATATTTTTCCTAGTTTACTTAGGTTCTCTAGAATAGTATAAATACTTTATCCCTTATTGTAAAACATTACAACTCTCATATTATTAAATATAATTCGTGAGGCATTAATTGCTTTCTCTCGTTCTTCGTTGAACAACTTGTGAACTTATCAAGATTAATCTTGTGGCGTTCAAATCAACCAGGTGAAATTCATTTAAATTGTGTAATTAAGAGGTCCGCATATTGTTGACGATTCGGGTTGCTTGGTTCCAGTTTATTGGGTTTAATCCAAAACCTTGTCTTTGGCTTTCTTGGGTTTGATTCTAAATTTGTTGTGGGTTTGGTAGTGATCGCGCTACACAGGTTCGCATCATTGCCCCCTTTGTAAGCTCGCAATCACCGTACCCACTGATCCATTATATCCCGATTTCTCCAAACACCACATTCGTTCGCTCAAGATGTTGCTGCATAGCTTTCAACGTGAATGATTGATTCTTCTCCTCTCTAGTTATTGATTCTTCTCTTTCAGACATCTTAATAACTAGAATTATATGCCTCACGTGTTTACACAGTGTTTCACTTAATATTGACTTTTTCCCGATAAGAAGCCACACCACTCTTGCCTTTTTTCCTCTCTATGCTTTCTTAGTCATATTCTCTTAAAAAAGCAAAAAGAAAAAAAGAAAAAGAAAACCTAATTGATCTCAATAAAAAAATCAACCTCTTGTGAGGTTCAACCCGCAAGAACCAAAGGAAAAAAATTGAAGGATAATGGCTTGAGAAGGAAAGAACGAAAGAAATTGAATGAAGACACAATACAAAATTTCGAGAAAGTGTTTCTTAAAATTGATCTATGCATTCTCTCAACAAGATTGATACCAAAGGATTATATTGGTATTGAATGACTAGAAAGATCGTATTTCTTAATAATTTCACCACAACAATTTCAAGGTGTTTCTTGAAATTGAATCAACATTATCTTGACTTTCGAACTGATCTATGCCTTTTCTCAACAAGATTTATGCCAAATGAAGATATAGGTATTGAGTGACTAGAAAGATTGTATTTCTTGAAAATTTCACCACATGAGTTTCAAGAAGGTGTTTCTTGAAATTCTCTTGACCAATTGCCTTTTTCTTGAATTTTTTTTTTCTAGTCTTTTTCCTTTTTTGCGCCCCCCCCCCCAACACTAAATATGTGAAAAGATCAACAAATGCAATAAACCAAAAAAATTGATGAAGACTCGACGAAGAAGACCGAATGAAGAAGACCGAATGTTCAAATTTGAAGAGAAAAAAGAGAGATATTGTCCATTTCAAGAATTAGTTTTTTAATTTAATTAAAAAAAATGTGCTCACACGCCGGTGTAGTCTTGACTTTGAAGAATACAATAGAAACTGTGGAAGTTTGAAGCATTAAGTTCTTGGAATTAAAAAATTGAAAGTTCGTGATACAGAATTTATTCAGGAATTTTCATCGAATTTAGGTAAAAATTCGAATCATTTATTCTTGATATAACATACAAGTGAACATCTAGGTGATCTTGAATGTTGCATTAAAAAAAATTTTAAAATTTTTAGATAATTCCACTTCCACATTTCAACAAGTGAAACAAATTTTTACTCGATTTTTTGGATGGATTTAGCTATGAAAAGATGAGCTCACATGCAAGTTCTGGATTTTTCTAACCAAGTTAGGTTGGACGGACAGACCGACTTCGAGACACTAAATATAAATCTTTTTAAGAAATGTTTTTGTAAGCAATACCAGATAGTATCGTAGCTAAAAAATAATTTATTTTTTGTTCTTTAATATTATAACACTTGGATAATTCAAACATTCATGAAATGAACCTTGATTAAGATTCAATGCAACGGCAACAAGAAATGTTCGTTGGCCGTCTATCTTGATGGAGAGATCAATACATTTATAAACCTTAATATTTTGGTGTGCCCTTGGAAAATAAATAGATTTCATAATAATTTTAGTATGAGAAAATAATGCCCATTTTTTATCATTACTTTTATTTTTTTATTTTTGACAAATGTAACCTCCTCTCCTCATAAATCTTCCTTCTTTGCATGAACTTTAAATCATTTAAGCATTCTCATAAAATTAGGCAAATTTAACGAGACTTTTTTTTTATATATACATTTAAATACCCTAGTCTTACTCCTCAACTTAATCTGAACGATACGTTAATAAAAAAGGCATTACCGTCATTTTACATGGTTGACTATCATATTTAGTGGAAGACAAGTTTCATTAGCGGTGTGTTTCCCACTCTTTCACGTGGTGTGAATATGGATCATCAAGTAAAACTTTGAGTCTAGCATATCTGACTATGTAAATTTGAGTCCCTAAATGATAAAATGCTTAATATTGAACGTCAAAATCAGATGTAACTTTTAAGTTGAATTAGAGATAAACAATTAAGTGATTTGAATCCTTATCCAAATTTTTTTTATTTATCTTCTATAGTTGATAAATAAGGGTTCATGTGTTAAGCCACTTCATAGCAAGCTAAGCAAAAAGCCACAAAAGCAATGGCCACTTAAGGTTGGCATCTACTCGACATCTCCTTGCCCAAGCCTTTTTCAAGGTGATTAAGCCAGGCAATTTGAGTCTCGCTTGGAACAGTGACTATCCCCTCTTCTGCAAATGTTCTCCGAGATGATCTAACAATGTCCTCAGGCATTCCGTCCAAAAATTATTATCCAAGGTGATAAGCATCTTTCACAAGCTTCACCTCGACCATACCATGGGTATCTTCCACAAATCTTCTCCGAGTCGATCAAACTATGTCCTTAGACATTCCACCCAAAAATTATTAACTAAGGTGATGGGAATCTTCCACAAGCCTCACCTCGACCATACCATAGGTACCTCGCATGGAATTGTAATTATCACTCTTTCGCAAGTCTTCTCCTAGGCGATTGAGCCTTTTCCTAAATGTCCTACTCGGAACAATTATTATCTGAGATGATGCATCACATCTTTGCTACAGTCTATATCGGAGGTAATTGACATGTTCTGTGATGGGCATCTTTCACAGGCACCGCCTCGACCAAGATACATCATACATCTAACATATATGACAATCTACAGCAACATCACTCAATCGACTTTTCAATTTCCAAGAGCTTATTTGCATGAAAATTGTCAATTAAATGTATTTGATTGATTTAATTTTCAATCTAAAAAATGTTATACTTGCCCATTTTTTATTGGCAAGTAGATGAGAAAGAGAGGATGTAGATGAGAGAGAATTACTTGAAAAGTAAAAACATTCTCCCCTCTAAGAAAATATTTTCCTTGTTTTCAAGAAAAATATGGTCATCCAACCAAAAGTAGGAAAATATTTTTCATAAAAAAAATAAATCAATCGAACCGCACAAAACGCTTTCAGCCATAGGCAGTGTTGTCATGTTCCCAAATCTCGAACAAGTACATAAAG